CCCCAGGCTGGCTGGCTGAGCCGCCCCGCCAGGGCTGGCAGGCAGCAGAGGGAAGCCCGGGCTCGCATTGGCACCCCAGCACCCCCCACCCCCCTACCCCCTCTCCTTTTCCCCTGGAGCCAAGCTACCCGCGTGGCTGAGCTAGCCACCCGTATGTGTGTCACCGAGTATACTCCGAAACTAGAGCGGACTCTCTAACTAAGCGTAACGTGGAGGGAAAGAAGTGCACTCGAGTGCACGGGGACTCCTAGAGTGCGGCTAGAGACGATGGGGAGACGTTAGGAAAGACACACCACTCGAGAGTTTTCAGCTTTTTGAGGGAGACCTTTCCGGGAGCTATGGCTAGCTGGGGTATAGTCCGGTCATGAACTGCCCCCCCCCCCCCAAAAAAAAAAAATATATAAAAAAATTGGAGTGGATATCACTCTTGATGAACATGACGTCGTTGTAACCCTCGCCTCGTAACTAGGAATTTTTACTTTCTGTGGGCCGGGAGGCGCCCGTTTTCCCCAAGTCTCCAGGGGCACACAGGCGAATAGAAGAGGTTCTAGAGAGGCTGAGGCCGGAGCGTGCGACAGTAACCCCTTTGCCCACGCACCGCCCGCCGCGGGACCGCCAAAGCCTCTGTCTGAACGAGTTAAAATGTTTCCGCCCGCAATCCGAAATTCTATTATATAAATCTTTAATTTTTTTTTTTCGTAAGCGTTAATTAATCTTGTAATGGTTCACATCGTCTAGAACGAGACGTCTAAATCCCTCTTCGACTAAGCGCTAAAGTGACAAAATTTATATACTTGCCGTAGCTCAAGTCACTTTGAATGGAGTTTGTCTCACAGTTCGTTTACCTCCATTCGAAAACGTTGACTAATGTTTAGACTAGGACTGATGTCCCCCCGCGCAATTTTAACATTTTAATCCATAGGTTACTGGCGTAATTGTGTCATTAACGTTTATTGTGGAAAAATGCATTTGGTACTTGATTTAAGCACATACTCCGACATACGCTTACACCAACAAACTAAGTGTGCAACTGCAAGTTAAATACTTGAAAGTGTGTGACTTGATGGGTACCTCACTTCTAAATTGAGCGTACACTGATTGGAGGCTTCGTTATGGTGATTGGAGCAAAGTGTCTGCATTTGATGAAAAAGTTCGTTTTTTGTAGAGTTTTTGGTGGAAATGGGCCATTTTGTCCAGAAAATGTGTTATTAGACTGTGGTTGGAAAGCGATTGGAAGGAGCGAACGTGCACTGATTGGAGGCAGTAAGGTATCCCTCGGTGCGACTACAAGTTGAATACTTGCAAGTGTTGAAGTCGGTGGGTCTGCACTTGCAAGTGCAACTCCTCGGTTGAGCACTTCCTACACAGCGAGCGTTCAATCTAAGGAACTGTTCAACCGGAGATTTTCACCTACCGAGTTGAACAATTGCAAGTATTCAACTTGCAGTTGCACTCTTACAAGTGTTGAGCAGTTGCACACTTTTATTATCAGTGTTTACCAGGTGGCTGATGAACCACTGGAGTGATGAACCCGGCTCACTTCTGTACCGCACGCACGAGTGCGGGCGGGTTGCCTACTCTTTATTCGGCCCGGCCCAAGGCACCGTGGAAAGGGACGATAGGCAAGCCCACCCGCACTCGTGTGTGCGGTACAGTGTACCTACAAAAGTGCGCGGGGTTAATCAGCCACCTGGTAAATCTGTCTCACTGAAATTGCTCTCAAATGATATGCAAAATACTCTGTATTCGATTAAGTGCATTTAAATCTTGGACCACGAGAACCCTCCTGGTTGTTTCGGTATCAGCATGCTGATTTGCAAATACATAGGCTTTGAGAAAGACCCGTCTTTCCTCGCGAATAAATTGAGTATTAATTGTATCCAAGATTCAAAGTTTTGAGGATGGCGAATTTGTATACAACAAGGTTAAGTTGACCTGTTTCTGCGGCTTCCTAAACTGACCAGTGAAACGGCACCCGGCAATGACAGAGGGATGTTGGAAGGGACGGACGGAAACGACATAAGTGTGGCCTTTGCGAGACATGCAAGGCTTCGGCGCAGCTAGAGAGGTGAAACAAAAGAGGAAAAATGAAATAAAAAGGCTCTTTGACAGTTTGAAGTTGGAGGGCTTCGAAAGTCGAGCCGAATGGGATGCGCAGTTGGTGCTAGGAGGGGAGGAGGAGGGGGACACTGCAGAGCACACGAGCCAAAACTTTTTGCGTTTGCTTATGTTTCCACTCGGGTTTCCCAGCCTGAAGATAATCATTGAGTGATTGCAAGTGATCGAGACAAACTGTACGCCGGAAAAACAAAGGTAGGAATCAGCACCCTTTTTGGGGTGTTAATGACTTTCGTGCCTTCACTCTCAACAAAATCAGTACAGTGCTGTAATTTTCAGAGGCAATTAAAGATTCGCACCCATGGAAGTGCACTAAAATGCCACAGAGATGCTAAGTTGCAGTGCCTTTTGGATAGTTTCGTACCCTTCTAATGGCATTAAAATTTGGGACTTTTATAACGCACTAAGTCCAACCTTTGTTTTTCCAGTGTTTAGAGTTCAACAGCTAGTAATATCAACTTGTCTGAGAGTGTATGCATTTAAAGCAAAAAAGAACAGAAATGGAAACAAAATACAAGTTTTTCTTCTGTTTTCCTTTTTTACGAATAAATTGTTCTACCAAACGTGCGTTAACTCCTCTAGCATTCGCGGGTGCTCAGACAGCCAACATCAGAGCTAACTCAGCTGATGCAATTTTTTTCCATGTTTCGCCAGCGAATGTTAGAGGTTTATTACTATTGAATACTGTTTGGGCTGAATGCAAGGAGGTACGGTACACCCAAACACAGGGCTCGGTCGCACCCGAAAAGGAAGATTGCTTAAGAAATTCGGAGTTTCATGCCATAGGTTTCATGCCTATAGGTGCTAAATCTTAGTGCCTCAGCAGAGTTTCAAAGCAATTTTCAAAGAAACTATATACCCTTCACACCTTCTAAAGGTGTGTGACTTAACACCTATGCTCTTTCAGTGTTGCCGCCGAACCATCTGACATCACTGAATCCTGATATTTGACACTAGAATCTCACGCCTAAAACAATTGGCGCCCCTGTCTCGTATCAAAACCTTTTCTCGCGACGACGGCAGCCAGTCAGGCAGGCCCAAGCCAGGCATGCAGACAGACAGGCAGCCCGGCACTGCCTGGCAGGCAGCCTAAAGGCAGCCCCCACCCAGGCTTTGGTATGTTGTGACACCGGGTCGGACGAGGACAGGCTGCCAGCGTCGGACCCCGCGGGCGGCGGCGGGCCCTCCAGTAGAGAGAGAGGGAGAGATAGAGAGGGGGAAAGGGGGAGTGTGAGAGGGAAGGAGGGAGAAAGGGGGGGAACGGGAAAGGGGCCGGAGCTGGGAGAAGGGGGTGGGGAGGAGAAGGGGGGAGAGGGGAGAGAGAAAAAACGAATCAACCGAGGAAAAACACCCATCCCGTCGCGGCAAGTCGCGGCCCGGCCCGTCCGGCTACCGCTGGCGCGGCGAGGGGAGGGGAGGCGAGGGGATAGTAGTGGCCACAAAACTGTTGCT